CCAGATCGCCCGAGCACATCGCCGATCCCGGCGAAGGTTTCCTGTGCGCCGCCCCCTACTACAACGGCTTCGACGCCGACTTTGCCACGCGCTCCCAGGTGCGCTGCGTGCCCGTCTTCAGCCCGGACGGCGACGGCACCGAGCCTTCGTCGTTCGCGGGGCCCTCGGCGCTGCGCGGCTTCGCATCCGCCTACTCGTCGTCGCAGGCCAGCGGCGTGCCCATCCGCGCCGTCGTCGTGTGCAACCCGCACAACCCCGTCGGCCGGTGCTACGACCGCGCCGCCCTCGTCCACTACGGCCGCTTCGCCGCCGAGCGCGGCCTGCACCTCATCTTTGACGAAATCTACGCCCTCTCCGTCTTCCCCACCGACGACGACGCCGAGCCGCAGCGCTTCATCAGCGCCCTCGCCATCGACTGGCAGAACGAGGCCGGACTTCACCCGGGCAGCGTCCACATCATCACGAGCGCCTCCAAGGACTGGGGCATGAACGGACTCCGTATCGGTATGCTCGTCAGCCAGCACAACCCGTGAGTCCTACTCTCGTTTCAAAATCGCACATTGAATCGAGGAAAGCGGTCTTGCAGGGGCCCTGGAGAGAGAGAAGTGACCCCGCAACGCTGACGTGATGGCGCCCCCTGCCTCTGCCTCTGCCTCTCTTCCTGCGCCTCGCCCTCTCCAGCCGGCTCATCTCGGCCATGAAGAGCACGGGCAAGCTGTACATGGTCTCGTCGGCGGCCGATGCCCTCTTTTCGCACCTCCTCCTCGACGAGAGCTTCTACAAGCCCTTTATCGCCCTCAACCGGGCGCGCCTGTCGTGGGCCTACGCCCTGGCGCGTGCCTGGTGCCGGCACCACGCCATCGGCTACGTGGCCTCCAACGCGGGCCACTTTGTCCTCATTGACCTCTCGCCGCACCTCGCCGTCGCCGCCGCGGGCGGACGCACCGAGCACGAGGCCGAGGCGCTCCTGTGGCGCCGCATCCTCGAGCGCCAAGTCTGCCTCACCCCGGCCTCGAACTACCACCACCCTACGCCGGGCGTGTTCAGGATGACGTTTAGCTTGAAGCGCGACGAGATGCTCGAGGGTCTCGCTAGGTTGGAAGACGCCCTCGGCCTCGAGCACTGGACCCCGCCCCCGCCGCCCTCGTCGCCGTTTGTCCAGCAGCACAAGTAGCTCCACCGCCCGCCCGCCCGCTCGCTCCGGCCCCCCGGCTCTGCGCCGCGTTGCACTCTCCTGCCATCCTTGTCCGTCCCCGCGCTTCCGTCCGTGTCCAGGTGTACCATACCCCCCTCCCCTTTCCCCACTTTCCGAGTCTCAACAAGACCCGTCACGATGGACGATCCGATATCTCACCTCGTTTCTTAGGCATCTCGGTTAATTCATCCGTTCCCACATCGACCTTTACTCGTCCGGCGAGACGGAAACGAGTCCCGCGGCCTGCCATCGAGGGAGCGGTCGAGCGAGGGGAAATAGCGGAGACGGGGGGCGGGTGAGGGAACGATGAAGGGAGCGAGAAGAAAGTCAGCCCGATTGGGTGGGTGATGCAAGGGGGGGAGGGGCGGTTTCTACGTCGACTCACGGTGACGACAAAGGGGATGGGGCGACGCGCCTCGTCGCGCAGGGTGGCGAGGAGGGCGCGCAGCTTAACCCGAAGTCGATCCACGTCATCCTCGTCGTCATCGTCGTCTTCGCGGCCGGTTTCGCCTCGCACCGCCGCCTCGGATGCCGTGCCACCAGCGCCGGCGGGAGCGGCAGCGGCAGCGCGGGGACGGGTGGGCTGCCGTGCGATCTCAAACAGACGGGGTACCTGCTCGGCCAGGTGGCGCGGTATCGCGATGATCTGCGCCACCCTGCCAAAGGGCGAGAAGAACCGGGAGTGATTTGAGGAGGAGAGCGGGGGGAAAGAGGAGCGGGACGAGGACAAGGTCAGTATTGTCAATCGCGCCGAGCAGACGCGTGACATGGCGCCCCGGGAGGATGTCGGTCGGCCTATGCCACGCGATGCCACGCGATGCAACGCAACACAACGGGACGGATGGGATGGGACGCACCTATCGCCCCAGACGCCCTCCCTCTTGAGCATGACGCGCCACACGTTGACGTCCAATGCACTCGTAGCGCCCTGGTAGACCGTCCTCTGAAACTGCGCCGACGCAGCCAGATGCTGCCCCATGCCGTACACCCCTCCTCCTCCTCCTCCACCGACACCGCCACCGGACTCGCCCATCATCATGGCCGCCATCATCGTCGACGGTGTCGATGCAAACGACGAGTACGGCGACGACGCCGGCATCGATGCCGACGAAGACGACGACGACGACGAGGCGGAGCGCGGCGGTGCGACGGGCGGTCCGCCCAGGGCGACGCTGGGCTGGGCCTGGTGGTCGTGCTGGCCCCTCCGGCTCTCCTGTGGCCCTGCCAGTGAAGGCGTCAGCATCGAGATTGCTCCCTTGGACGTGAAGTTGGACGTGGAGCCCGTCGAGGAAAAGAGGCGCACCGACATCTGGTTGGTGCAGACCAGCGTCAGCGGGTACCGCCTCTCGGCTTCCTCGGTGCTCGTATCCGACGACGTCCGCTTGAGTCCGAGCATCGGCTCATTGACGAGCGACTGGAGCTGCCTCAGCTGCCTCAGGAGAATCTCGCGCGCCATCCGTTCCTCTGCGTCGGCGGGCTGCGATCGTAGCGGGTGCGAGATCGAGTCGATGACGATCAGCGACGTCCGAGGTGGCAGGATGGGCGTGAAGCCACCAGCATCTTCGAGCTGCACAGGGCTGCCCTCTTGTGGGTGCCGTCGGCGCCGCTGTGATCCGCCGCCGCCGCCGCCGCCGGATGCGGGTCGACGCGCTCTGGCAGCTTCGGCTTTCAGCTGCGCCACCACCTGATCCTCGCTTGGCCGCAGCATCGAGAGCGTGGCCACCAGCTCGGCCGTCCTGGTCACCCGCGAGACGTGGAGGCCCGCCAGCACGGCCATGACCAGCCTCCGAACCACCTCGGGAGCGCTGCGCCGCCTGGCCTTTTCGTGCCGGGCTTGCCGGTGCGCGGGCACCCGATGTGCGTCCTGCTCGCGCTCGCTGCCAGAGTGTTGCGTCCATAGCGGAAGTACCTTGCTCCAGACGGCGTCCAGGATCCTCTCTGGCAGCATGCCGCCCTCGGTGTCTATGAGCACCACCTGGTTTGAGCTGGTGAGCTCGGCATCCCAGTACTCTTCCGCGAACAGCGCTCGGTTCCGTTCCTCTTCCGTAATCTCTGTTTCCGTGGGCCCGCCCGCTTGATCATGGCGCCACATCTCGATCCTGGTAGAGACCAGGCTGTCGATGCGTTCCTGGACCGCCATCTGGACGCAAAAGGCCGTCTTGCCGGATCCGGGCGGCCCGATTACCTCGATCGCCGAGCCAGAAGGTATGCCGACGCACATGCGGTCGACGGCAGCCGCCAGGTTTGAAGGGCCTGCTTCGGCCCCTTCCGTCGTTCCGATCTCGGTCTCACTGCGGATATCGATGGCGGTCTGTACCGCCTCGTACGATCTGCCAAAGCGCGCGTCGAGCTCGGGTAAGCCTGTGCGAAGGTAGCGGTACGACCACGGCATCGGTTCCGTCTCTATTGGCGGTGGTGCCAGGGGCGGGGGGCGCATGGTTCCAAGGCCGCGGAGGGGTTGATCCGTGATCGGGGCGTGGGCAGCATCAGGCCGAGTTCGAGTGCGAGGATCCGGGGGATGCAGCTGTTCTGGCGGAAGGATGCGCTGCATGTCTTGGATGCTGAGCGGGTTGAGGGGCCGCAGCGGCGTCGCTGGCGTGGACATAGACAGTGTTGGACGAGCTGCGGCGGCGGCGGAAGACGGGGTAGGTGTGGGGGGTGGCAGCGGTCTGGAGAGTCCAGAGAGGGGCAGTTGGGCGGGCGAGGTGTCGTCGTCGGCTTCGACGTCGAGCCTGACGCGCTTGCGCTGCGAGGGAGGGGTATCGCGGGAGCTGGCGAGGGAGGGAGGTGTGGGAGGGACGAGGCTGTGCAGAGGCTTGCGGGTCGAGGTGGCAGGAGTGGATGGATGTCCGCCCGATGAGATGCTTGAGGTGACCTGCGACGAGAGATGGGACGAGGAGGGAGTGGGGCTGCCACTAGGTGCGCCATTGAGCTGCGCCGGCCGCCTCGGCGGCGGCGGTCTGACCAGGCTGGCTGCCGGGCTCCTGACTTCAGGGCTGATGCCGGGCAGGGAGATGTGCGGGTGCTTGGAGAGCGGCGTGGAGGCAGAGGCAGCAGCAGTGGTAGCATGCGTCGCGCGGGGCGTCGCTGGACGACCATTGGGAAGGTCGACGGCTGAGGTGGCCGGGGAAGCCTGTCCCGATGCGAAGAAGTCCCTGTCCGGTGGCTCGCCCGCCGATGGCTGCGGAGGCGGTGGCAGGCTGGCGGCGCGGCCATTGTCCTGTTGTTGTCTGCCCGTCTGCATGGCCGTATTGCGGAGCTCCGTTGCTAAACAGAGGCGGTCGCCCGGCGCCGTTGGTTGTCGAGGAGGTGTGCTACCGGCGGGCGGGGGACGCGGACCGAGGCGAGCTTGTGGCGGTGATCATAGCGTCGGATCGCCGAGCCAAGATAGGCGTGGCTCGAGACGGCGCGGTACTGCTTCGCACGGAGGAGATGAGACTGGCACTTTGGTGGGTGTTGGTGGTGGTGGCGGCGGAGAGAGAGAGAGAGAGAGAGGGAGCGCGCGCAAACGGAGCGGTGCGGTGGCAACCTGTCAAACGCGCAGCAGCAGCAAACGCACAGAGAGGTGGAGGCTCGAGGGCCGTGTTGGCAGGCCGCGCCGCCCACGCCACCGTCGCCCGCGACGCGTCCCGCAGTCACAGCTCGAGTGCAACACGTACACCATCTCGGCCAAAAGAGTCAGCGCTTGGTCGCGAGAGCAGACGAATCCACCGTCGCACCAACTGCACCGGCTCGCAAGAGAGTACAGCACGTTCTCGTGGACCTCGGGAGCAGGCTCGCCAGTGCTTTTCAAGCTCGACCCTCGTATCGTACATGCACACAAGCAGCCAGCCAAGGGCAATCCGCGCCCTCACTCGTCGTCCTCGTCCATCTCCTCATCCTCATCGTCCTCGTCCTCGTCCTCGTCCTCGTCCTCGTCGTCCTCTTCGCTCTCCTCGCCGTCGTCGCCGATGACGTGCTCGTGCTGCATCAGCAGCTTCCTCTTCTGGTCTCGCACCTTCTTGGCCAGCCTAAACGCCACCTCGAGCGGCGTCTCCTTGCTCCCCTCGTCGCCCGCGCCTTGCTTGAGGAACCCCTCGAGTGCCCGCAGGTCGTTGGGCGCAAACTCGACCTTGTCCCTCCGCTTCTGGATCCACACCGAGTTCTGCGCCACCTTGTCCAGCAGGTTCTTGAGCGACGACACCAGCTTGGCGTTGGTATACGTCTTGAGCCCGCGTTTGATCTGAACCGTCGCGGGGATCACCACCTCGGGGAACGCAATCGAGCGCGACTGCGACGCAAGGAACTCGGTCAGCAGGAAGCACGTCTCGTCGGCCAGCTGGTCGGCGTAGACGCGCGTCCGGATGTAGTTGGTCGGCGCGCGGATCGACGTCTCAAAGTCCATCGGCGCCAGCGTCGACCCCTTGGGCTTGCGGTGGAACTCTGGAGAATCAAAGATGCCCAGGATCGACGGGATGATGGGCACGTAGGTACCCGTGCGGCTGATGATGCGCTGCAGCGAACGCAGCACGTGCAGCCGGAAGGGAAAGTAGCGCGACGTCGGCACCAGCCCCACGACGCCCGTCGCCACCTGCACCAGAGGATAGATGAGCGGCTGCAGCGCGCTCTGACCCCGCGTCGCCACCACCTCGGTGTCGCACGACGCAGACAGCACCTGCGACCAGAAGTCGACGCAGTGCACGTACTGCCAGTTGAGCACCGCCTTGAACGAGTCCTTGGTCTTGGTCTTGATGCAGTTGCGCAGGTGGATGGCCAGCTGGCGGATAAAGCCAAACGCCTGGCGGTAGCTCGCCTCGGGGTCGAGCGAGTAGAGCTCGGCCGCCGAGTTCTTCATGAGGTTGATGCTCGGCATCGTGTGCGTCGACGTCTGCTTGGTGCTCTTGACAAACGACGAGTAGACGCCGCGCAGGCACTGCTCGAGCACGTCGTCGTCGCTGCCCGCCGCCAGGCGTCGGAGAGCCAGGAAGGCCGCCATCCGTACATCGTCCTCGGCCGAGGACCAGAGCTCGAGCATGCGCTGCGGGGCAGGCGAAAAGTGCAGAGAGCGGCGAGACACTTCATAAGTCAGCGTTGCCCTCGCAGCTCAAAGGGTAGCAACCTGAATGTCTCGCGCGCTGCGCCCCCACTCACCCTGATGTACTCCTTGGTCGTCTTCTTGTTGTAGGTGACGTAGGGCACCATCCTCTCGCTCTCGGAGACGACGACGTAGAGCATCTTCTGCTCGGGCAGCGTCCGGAGCAGCGTAAAGAGGCTGGAAAAGTAGCTCTGCAGCGGCTTCTTGACATGGGACCACTTCTTGCTGTTGAGGGGCAGCTTGAAGCGGCCTCCGTTGGTCTTCTTGACGGGAGCATGGTGCTGGAGAACGACGGGCGTGTACTTGAGCGTGGTGAGGACGACCTTGTTGAAGACCTTGGAGTCGTCGACGACAAACGGCGCGTCCTCGTCCTGATTGTTGGCCTTCTCGCCGACACGCACGGCGCAGCGGAAGGCGAGGAGCAGCTTGCGCAGCGCCTTGATCGACCTCGACTTGAGCATGTCCTTCTGCCACTCGCTGAGCATCTTGAGCGTGACCCGCTGCGCGCCCTCGTCGGCGACCTTGTGCTTCCCCTTGCCCTTTGCAGACTCCTCGTCATCGTCGTCGGACATCTCGTCATCTTCGTCGGCCTCGTCCTCGTCCTCGTCGCCGTCCGCACCAAAGTTGAGCAGGTCCTGGTCGTTCTCCTGGAGGTACTTGTAGAATTCGGGATCCTTGGCTTTGAGCTTCTCGAGGTCCTGCACGTGGCCAGACTCATCGTCGGTCATCTCCTCGATGTCGCCAAGCGAGTCGGCGTCCTCTTCGTCCTCGTCATCGTCCTCGTCGTCGTCCCCGCCGGCCTGCCCGTCTGCACCGTCCATGCCCTTCTTGAATCCGCCGCCGAGGAAGTCGTCGACGCTCATGCCGGTAAACTTTCCAGCGGCCTTGCTGGGGCCGGCCTCGTCGTCGGAGCCATCGCCCATCTGGGCGACGATGTCCTCTGCCTCGTCGTCGTCTGTCCCGGACTCGACATCGTTGTTGGAGGGCTTCTTGTTCTTCTTTCCGGATCGGAGCGCCTTTGCCTTTTTGGCGGCGTCTGCCCGCTCGATGACGGCCCTCTTCTTCTGATGCTCGCGGCGCTTCTTTATCGTCGCGTCAAACTGCGGAACGGACAGCGACGGCAAGAAGGGCAGAAAGATGTATCGAAACAGTCAGAGTCTAGCTGCGAGGGTCGGGCTGAGTGTTGCAGGTCTCGAGGCGCCGAGACCTACCTTTGTCTTGAGGAACTTTTTCGTCTGCTTGCCTTGCTTTCCCATGGCGGCGAGCGTGGACGGGGGGAGGAGGGGGGCAGGGGTGGTGTGGTTTGTTGATCAAGCGCCTCCGAGGTATGGCCTAGTCGATGACGGGTTCGTGAGGGGCGTAAACTGGGGCAGCCAGCGGGCGATGTCCGGGTAGAGAATGGTGGACGGGGTGGAGGACGGGTCGCGAGAGAGGGGTGAGGAGCGGGCGAGTGAGGGAGCGCGAGCCAGCGAGAAGAAGGGGCCGCCGCCGCCGCCGCCGCCCGCCCGCCGTTTGCCAAATTTTTGCCAAAATCCGCTCAGCCTCTCGGGACTCGGGGCACGCGAGGCAAGGGCTGCTGGGCTGGGCCCGGCCAGAAAAATTCGGGAGCGGGCCCTGCCACCTGCCTGCCTCGTGCCACCTTCGCAGCTACCTGCCGCTTGGCCTCATCGTCCTCCTCATCCTCGTCCCCTCCCATAGGATCCCACGCAGAGCTCAAAAGCACACCTCGTACCCGCTGCGATAGACCCAAACGAATAGTCGACAATGAGGCAGCTCAAGTACCACGAGCAGAAGCTGCTCAAGAAGTGAGTGGCGCACCGTCCACCCTGGACCCGCCGCATCTGGGTCGCTCTTGATCTCGCTCCCAGCTTGACTGACCATCCCCCATACCGCGCCGCCTTGTCCTGCCTTGGCTCTCCCGTACAGGCATGACTTTATCCAATGGAAGTCCGATGCGGGGATGCGGGAGATCAAGATCATGAGGCGCTACCACATCCAGGACCGCGACGACTACCACAAGTGAGCATCCGGCGCTCGCAGCCGCGCCTGGCAGCGGCCAGGAGCCGTCTGGCTCTCCGATCAGCGCCGACTGACACCCGCTTCCACCTTTCTGCACTCTGCTGCCGTCTCCCCTCCCCTTAGGTACAACAAGTTGGTCGGACGCATCCACCACCTCGCCCTTCGCCTCTCTACGCTGCCGGCCCAAGATCCGTTCCGGGTCAAGCACGAGGACAGCCTGCTGGGCAAGCTGTACGACATGGGCCTGATCAATACTGGCGCCAAGATGAGCGACATCACCAACAACCTCAATGTCAGCGCCTTTTGCCGCAGGAGGCTGCCCGTCGTCATGGTCCGCCTGCGTATGGCCCAGACTGTCGGACAGGTGAGTCTCGGCACGGCGGCGTCACACGCCCGACGCCCTGAGCCTGGTCTTGCTCTTCTCCTGCTCCTCTTGCTGAGTTCCTCTCCTCTTGTCTGGACGGCGCTACCTTGCTTGCCTCCGCCCCGTCGCTAGGCGGTCAAGTACGTGGAGCAGGGCCACGTCCGTGTCGGCCCCGACACCATCACTGACCCCGCGTTTGCCGTCACGCGCAACATGGAGGACTTGTGAGTTTGACAGCGGGTCTTCGGCTTTGCGTGACTAGCTGCAGGATCTGGCTGACTGGCGCCCTGTTTCGCTCCACGCTCCCTCTGCCCTACTGTTGCCAGCGTGACATGGGTGGATACGAGCAAGCTCAAGCGGACGATTGCCAAGTACAACGACGAGGTGAGTTGGGCGCTGTGCCCGGCCTTCGAGTTGACCGCTTGGAGTTTAGCAGGCGCTGATGCCGCTCGCTCCTCTCTCTCTCTCTCTTGTCCTGGGGTAACCGTGTGCGACATTGCAGCTGGACGACTTCGACCTGCTCTGAGTCTTGGATCGCCCGGCTCGTCTTGGACCCTAGTGTGGCCCCCGTGCTCGGCCGTCGTCGTTGTTTCTGTCCCTCGCACCCTGTACTTGTACCTTGTCATGCCTGCCTCCGTGTCGCACACTTTGCCAAACCACATCGTCGAAGGAGTAAGGATAGGGCAGACTGCTGCTGCTGCGTCTGGCTGAGCTGTGGGGGCTGCTCGGATCCGGGATTTGTGATCGTTGCGGTGGCGGCGTGCGCGTCGGCCTACGTCTGCCTCTTAGATCTGCCCTCTGGCGCGTGTTGCTCCACACGGCTGGCCTGGCCTGGCCCTGCTCGGCCCTCTGACTTTTGGGTCTGGAGGGTGACGCCAGCCCGACTGAATGAGTTCAGTGTGGGGAGCACGGGGCAGCGGCCCAGCGGCCCAGCGGCCCAGCAGCTGGTGGTGGCGAGAGACCCAAGGGCTCACCACCCAACCCCCGTTCTTCTTGGCCATCACCATCGCACCACCCTCCTCACCTCACCCTCCATCTCAACCGCGTCCACACCCCGATGGCAAAGATGACCTCCATTCCCGTCAAAGTCAAGCACAATGGCAAGGTGGTGCGTACCCCGTCTCGATCCACGCCACCAGACCCACGTCGTACACAGACGACCAGACTGACGCCCCCTGTCCCCCTCCCCTCACCCCGCCTCGCCTCGTTCCTCCCTCCCCCTCTTCACGCAGCACGACATCTCCTTGGAGCCGTCGCAGCCCGCCACCGCCTTCAAGCAGGCCATCTACGAAAAGACGGGCGTGCCCCCAGAGAGGCAAAAGGTCATGATCAAGGGCGGCATGCTCAAGGACGACTCGGACCTCTCAAAGATCGGCGCAAGGGCCGTGAGTACTCCCCGCCCTCTCCTCTCCTGCCACGCTCGACGCCAGAGCTCGCTTCGACTGACACACGCCCACCTGTCCCTCTTTCGCCCCTCGGCCAACCCTACGCACCCGCAGGGCCAGACCTTCATGGTCATCGGCACCGCAGGAGAGCTGCCCAAGGCGCCCACCGGCCCAATCACCTTCCTCGAGGACATGACCGACTCGCAGCTCGCCGAGGCCACGCGCACAAAGGCCGGCCTCACGAATCTGGGCAACACCTGTTACCTCAACTCGACCCTCCAGGTCCTCCGCGCCATCCCGGAGCTGCAGGTGGCCCTCAACCGCTTCGGCGGCACCCTCGGCGGCGCCGATGGCGAGTCGAACCTCACCGCCGCCCTGCGCGACCTCTACAAGAACCTCGGCCAAACCACCGAGGCCTTCCCGCCCATTGCCTTTCTCAGCATCCTCCGCCAGGTGGCGCCCCAGTTTGCCGAAATGTCGAGGGAGGGCGGGGGCTACGCCCAGCAGGACGCCGAAGAGGTCTGGGTCAGGATCATCCAGGCGCTCCAGAACAGCCTCAAGGGCCTGCCCGCCAACGCCGACAGCGCCGCTGGCGGCTCGCACGACGTTGCGCAGAAGTTTGTGCAGCAGTACATGACGGGCCACATGGTCATCAAGCGGTCGTCGCCCGAGGCGCCCGACGAGGAGCCGACGTTTTCAAAGGACCCGTTCAGCATGGTGCAGTGCAACATCTCGAGCACCACCAACGAGATGACGTCGGGCATCCTCGACTCGCTCAACCAGCAGATTGAGAAGCAGTCGAGCTCCCTCGGCCGCTCGGCCGTCTACAACGAGACGAGCCGCATCGACCGGCTGCCGGCCTACCTGGCCACCCACTTTGTCCGCTTCTACTGGCGGCGCGACATCAACAAGAAGACCAAGATCATGCGCAAGGTCAAGTTCCCCTTTGAGCTCGACGCCACGCCCTTCCTCACCGACGAGCTCAAGGAAAAGGTCAAGTCGACGACGCTCGCCATCAAGAAGTTCGAAAAGGACCGCGACGAGCGCGCAAAGATCCGGCGGAGGGCCAAGGCCAAGAAGGAGGCCGAGACAAAGACGGACGCCGCGGCCGCCGCCGACCCGAGCTCCCTCAGCGGGACGGCGACGGCGTCGGCCGATGCGCCTCGGCCTACCGATCCCATGGCCGTCGACGGTGCCGAGGAGGCGCTGACCTCAGCTACCACCGGCGGCGGCGGCGACTCGAAGCTGGGCCATGCGCTGACGGACGAGGAGGAGATTGAGCTGCGAAGCAAGGAGCGCGCCGAGGTCGACGCCTCGATCCACGCCGACCTGCGGGCCGACATTGGCGCCAACCCGTCGGCCCTCTACGAGCTGGTGGGCATCGTCACGCACAAGGGCGCCGCCGCCGATGCGGGCCACTACATTTCTTGGGTGCGAAAGGACGACGACGATTCCGACTCGGCGGGCGCCGCCGCCTCGGTCAAGCGCGGCGCGACGAGCAAGTTTGACCGCACCGAAAAGGACGAGGAGTGGTACAAGTTTGACGACGACAGGGTGTCGGTCGTGCCGCGCGAAAAGATCATGACGCTCGATGGAGGCGGAGAGGGTGAGTGCCCGTGCCTGGCTGGGCTTGCTGCGTCGTCGCGGCCGTGGTCGTTGCTGTGCGGCTCGTCGACGAGGAAGGGTAGGCTGACGTGACTCTCTCTTTGTCCCCTCTTGACCCTTTGCCACCCATTGCCCTTGCCATCGCCGCGCTAGATTCGGTCGCCTACATCCGTAAGTCGCCATCCTTTTGCCGCCCTGCGTCTCGGACAGAGAGTCGGGGAAGGACCAGACGCTCATCCCCTTCCATCCTGCCCGCCTTGCCTCTGCATGCCTTACCAACAGTCCTCTACCGCGCCAAGAAACTCGACTAGAACCAGGCATCATCTTTCCAATCGTTCCAACCCAACCCAACGTACCCGTCGACCTCTCGCACCCCTCCCATCCAGCACGCTACAACAAACGCCTATTTCGCCTCGTCAGCCTTCGTCGCTCCATTCTCTCTCGCTCGCAGCGACAGACTTTCAATCCATAATGCTCCAACAGCGAGCGAGCGGGCGTATCCACATTGCCTCCATATCAGGTCGTCGACGACGTTGCAATGACGTTACAGAGGCGGATTGAATAACAAAGACCAAGGGACGGAGACGAGGGTGTGTGGGTCCGACTCGACTGACGTGGCTCCGTTCTTCTATGCGATGTACCGCCAACGCCGAGAGCAGGGCAAGGAGGTGGGTAAGCGTCGTACTGGGATCCGGAAACGGGAAGGCAAGGCAAATCGAGGATGGGCAGGAATGGAAAGAAGAGGAGATGCTGTGCAAATCCAAGCGAAGGACGAAACGAAATCCGGTATGCGACTCTAGATACGAAGGATGGGGCGGGGCGGGGCCTGCGCTGCGGTTGTCGATGGTGCGATAGAAAGGAAAGGGCAAGGGGTGGCTCGAATGACCACATGTGGAAGGGCGAGATGTCGGGTGAAGGGGGCAACGGCTGCTGACGTCGTCGTCGTCGCTACCGCTGCTGCAACTGCTGCTGCGGGTCGAGGACAATGGCGACCTGGCCCTGGCTGACGTATTCGAGGGCACGCGCAAACACGGTGAGCGACTTGCGCTCCAGCTCGGCCTCCCTCCTGACGGCATCGATGCTGCGTGCCAGGTCGTCGGCCTCGTCGGCAGAGGCGTCGGTGCGCTGCGACGATACCGAAGCCGACCGATCCGTGCCGAACCCCGCCGCGCCGCCGATGCCATGCACGCCGCTTCCTGCAGCGGCGGCGGCGGCGCCCGCGGCGTTGGCAGTCGCTGTGCCGGTGCCGGCACCGGTGCCGGTAGCGATGGCGGAGTTCGAAGAGATGGACTGGCCATTGTCCGAGGCTGAGCCGGTCGAAGAGCCGCCCGACGTCGCGCGGCCGCGTGGCTTGGGCGACGACGAACGCGAGAGGCTCGAAAGGGCGAGGTGGAACCCGCTCTTGCTGTTGGAGCTGCTCCTCCGCCAAAACTTGGGCGGCACGCTCGCCTTGACCTCACCCGCGGAAGCGACCTTGCCGGCGACGTCGCCGGCGAGCACGTTAGGCGACATCGGCGGTGGCGATGCGGTCACACCGCCCACGGTGTCGTCGCCACCTGCTGCCAGCCCAGCAGAGGTGGCGCCGCTGGCGTCACGGAAACGAACAGCCTCATCCGATGGGCTCGGCGTCTTCGACGAGCTGAGGTCGGTGTCGGAAGACCGCGCGGGCTTGTTCGACCCATGGGTGGCGCCGAGGTCGCTCGACTTGTGGTCGAGGTTGGGGACCGACTGGGTCATGGTCTCATCAATCTGGACCGAGGTGTCGCTCTCGGCATCCGAGGGATCGGTGCTGCTGCTCGCCGCCGGCGGCAGAGTGCTGACGGCAAGGGTCGACGCCCTTGCACCGCTGCGGCTGCGAGGCAGGCCCCTCCCCGTTGCCGCAGCATCAGGCCGGCGCGAGTCGAACGGCAGCCGGACGGACGTGCCGGCCTGCTTCGCTACTTTCTCCAAGCTTGCAATGCGCTCGGCCTCGCGGCGGGCGATGACGGGCCAGGCAGCCTCGACCTCGGGCTTCATCCGGACGGCCAGAGCCTGAGCCCAGGTCTGGCCACCGGCAAAGCCGGCGATGGCGCGCTCGTACTCGGACCAGGTGTAGCCAAAGATGGCCGGCGGCGTCGGCAGCTCCAAGCGGCCGATGCCGAGTGGTAGGCGGTTGTAGAGGAGTTGAGCCAGCGGCAGGTTTGGGATCGCATCGAGCGCACGCGCCGCCTCCGAAGTCAACGAAGGCGCGTAGTCGCCACTGCCTTCATCGGCGTCGCCGCCAGCCATCTGCTCGAGGGCGGCGCAGATCGCCCTGGGCTCCTTTTCGGTCGTCTGCAGCACGATGATGGTGCTCTTGAGGGCATGCATCGCCTCGGCCAGCGCGGCTCGAGCCAGCTCGTCCTCGTCGTCCGGGTTATAGTCGTCGAGATCCAGGCTCAGGTCCGTGCTCTGGTTCTGCGAGGCGAAGAAGGGCAGCTTGGCGCGCCGGTGCAGCTTGGCCTTCTTCTGGGTACCCGTGCTCTTTCGCAGAAAGCCCTCACAGAAGCGGACCAGGAGCTTCTCAAAAGCCTGGAGTTCCGCAATCTGGTGAGCCACGTGCTTGCGGCTGACCTGAGAGATGGGCGGCAGCTTGGCATGGTCCGACGAGAGCGGGGCACCCAGCTGCGACGGGGTCTGTCGGCCGGACTCGGGCACCGAGCCCGAGCCGTCCTTGGGCGCCTTTGGCTTGGTCACGCCCATTCCTACAGACTTGAGCGCCTGAGTGAGCTGAGCCGGGCTCGGTGTGCGCTTCTGGCTGTCGCTCGTCACCTGCTGGATGACGGAACCCAGCGCGAAGCTCGCCGTCGTGTCGCTCGAAGGCAAGGCGACCGACCTCGAGGTCAGGATCAGGAGGCCCTTCCAGATGACGTGGATGGCGACCGAGATGAACCAGCCCTCGCCATCCTGTCCGCACCTCTCTTCGATCCTGGGCACGAGCATACGGCGGATGCCCTCCAGACGAGCCTCGAGCTCGCGGAGCCAGGCTGAGCTGAGGCCGTCAGAAGCGATGGGCCCAGACGCTGCAACATCCGCGGCCTTCTGAGGCGGCGAGGCGTTTCCAGGCACCGTCGCAGGCGCAGCGCCCGGGATCTCGTTCATGCTGGCCGACGCGCCGGGCGTCAGCGAGGGCGACAGGTTGATGGGATTGACGAACGGCGAAGGCACCGCAGCCGAGATGCAGCGGGTCAGACTGGCCTTGGTCTGGGCGAGCAGGGGCTGGATGACGTGGAGGATGGTGCCCTCCATCTTCTTGCGGACGGGAGTGAGGATCTCGGAGACGAAGTGAGGCATGCCGGCGAGGACATTCCCGTGCTCGTCGGCGATGAGCTCGCCCTGGGCATCGCGATCGCCCTCGATGCACCTCTCCAGGCTGTCTTCGACGATCCACTCGAGCGTCACCAGGCCGATGTTGAACTCGAGTGCCGGCGGAAGATGCGTGCCCTCCTTGGGGTTGGTCGGGATCCGGAGGGCCTGAGGGTCCTTGGTGGGCGAGACGAGCAGCGAGTCGATGCGGGCGGCGAACAGGGTCAAGGCCTTGAGGATCTGGCGCGACACGGCTCGCAGCAGGTAAGGGTCGACGCTCTCGGCGTAGCGAAGCTCGCCGACCACGGTGTGGGCAATCTCGAGGATTTTGACCTTGTCCGGCAGCCTCTTGCCCTCGTAGGCAATGTTCTGGATCTTGGGCACGCCGTGAAAGGCGCCGTGACCGCTTGCAGCGCTTTTGGCCGCCCCTGCCATACCGGCAGCCATGCCGGGGACCTGCGAGGGTGCAGCACCGGAAGCGCAGGGAACAAACGCCTTGTTGACAAGGTCGCTCAGCTTCAAAGAGAATTGAGTGAGGTGCGAGGGGTCCGGGGTAGCGGGCGGTCCCATGGAAGCGGAAGGCGGTCCTCCGAGAATCGAAGCCGCACCATTGACAGTCTCGGAGGCGGGGCTGGCCAGGGCGGGGGAGCTAGGGGTAGAGGCGCCGCTTCGGTTCCTGCCGAAGCCATGCATGACATCGCCGGCGCGCGACATGCTGTTGGTGAGCGAGGCCAGGCCGAGGCCCTTGCCGAAGCTCGAGGAGCGCTTGGGCTGCTTGGCCGCCAGCTCAGGGTCGAGGCTAGCTGACTGGACATGGTGGGCGGTGCTCGGGGGCGAGTCCGTCAGAGGGGTGCTGGGCCGCGAGGCAGACTCTTTGTTGCGGCGAGGGAGTGCGAGGGCGACCATGATTGGCGGATTAGCGGGGCGAAAATGGTACGGCAGGAGATGGAGCAGGACGGTAGAAGGTCAGGTCGGAAAGAAAGGGCGATTCGTCGGTCTATGACGAAGTCGAGCGTGACGGGGAGGAACGGCGAAGAGGGCGGTGGTGATCGCAGTGGCCTGAGTGGTGGAGAGTGCGAGCGAGTGGGAGGGGGAGAGAGGAGAGAGGTGGTTGGCAGCCCCAGGGTTAGGTGGAAGGTGGTGGAGGGTCTAGGGCTGGGAGCGGCGCAGTCGTTGCAGAAAGCCGAGGTGGCCAATCATGAGTTGACTACCTCTGAGCGTGAGCAGGTGAGGGCGTGTCAAGGTGAGGTCCAAGGCGCAAGACGCTGGCGTGGTCGCACAAGTGCGTCGGCTGGGCTGGGCGGTATCCGTCTTTGGAGGGCGAAGGCGGCTCGTGGGAGCTTTGTTCGCGGTGGCGTCCAACAGGCGAATGGAAACGAGGCTGGCGTGCGTTGCTGTGCGGAAGCGGCGAAGCTCTGATCAGGGGGCTGTCAGGAGGCTCGGCGGCTTTGGCGACGAGGAGAGGCGGCGTCGACGTTTCGGTAAAGTGTATGGCTGTGCAAGCGACCTTAGGGTGGTCGGTCGGAAGAGTCCAAGAAGAGAAGCAGCTGTCCGATCAAGAGGCAGCCTGCCGCAGGGCTGTTCAGGCTACTACATGTGCGAGCGGGTGGATTTGCCGGAATCGGACGAAGGAGGGAGAGCGAGGTGGTCGTCGAGTCGATGAGACGTGAGTCAGATGACCGGGTCGCCGTGCAAGAGCGGGAAGGAGCCCAGGCGTGGCCCGCGTCTGCCAAGCCAGGGCCGACGCCCAGGAGGTGTGGTGGTGCGGTTGAGCATGGTCTACTCACGTATTCGCGTGGGAGTAGGGTCTACAACTGGGGTCAACCATAGGTTTGTACTTTTGCGAGGGTGTCTGGGGGGAAGCTCCGACGAAGGGGAGTGGGGAAGAAGCAAGGTTGGGGGGTTGTATTGGCTTGGCTTGGCGAAGGCGAAGGCGTAGCTTGGCTCTTGACTGTCGAAAGCGTGAGCAGTGATGGTCCGGTGAGGTTTCCCGTGTAAGAAGGCCGAGAGGCAGGCGATGAGCTTGGGGCAGCGGTTTAGAAGCTAGCTGGTGTGTAGATGGTGCGAGCTGTGCAGAGATGGAGAGCGAGCAGATGGACGGCTGGGTGATGGTGGTGGTGGTGGTGACGTTGGTTGTCGGTCGCGGGGCTGGCCGTTGTCCCACCCCTGCCCCCTCGGCCCCCCCTTTGGGGCCAGGCTGGGCTGGCTGGGTGTCCGCTTGCGCCCCCTTCCTCTGTGTGCCAGGCTGCGCTGGCTGGCGGTGAATTTGAGTTTTTTGGCTTTTTCGACGGCTAACTGGCTGGCCGAGGCCCACGTTCCCCTCTGTCCACCTCTCATCGCCTTGATTTCAAACGGCGCCCACACCGAGCGAAGAGGGGGGCGGGGCGGGGAGCGGAGCGGAGCGGGGCGGCCGACTCCTCAGTCAGTCTTTCTTTGAACCCATCTCGTCGTCCCTTTGGCACCGTCCAGGCCGGCCTCGAGCTTTGGGCACAGTGTCCGAGGATTGCACTTTGCGGGCCCCCGGGCCATTCAGAGTGCCTGGATCTATTCATCAATCGATCGAGGAACGAGGTTGCCGGGCAGGCTGGCAACAAGCGATGGACGAGAAGAAAGCAAGGCCGGGTGGGGTGCGAGGGCGAGGGCGAGGGAAACCCACCTTGATGCCGCCGGTGGCCGGCGGTCCGGGGCCAAACAAACGTACGTCGTACACGCTACCGCGCCATGACAGCCGCCCCGGCCTGGCCTCGCACCGTACCGCCCGCGACTGAGCGCAAGACGAGCTTGTACGAGCCACGACTTCTCCGGCCGCATCGCAACTTGACGCCATTCCGTCCTATGGCGCCGCACACGACCGACATCGTGCGCCTCAGGTCTGTCAAGCTCCATTGCCAGCCAAGCATGCCGCAGACCTGTTTGCTCTGGCTCTGGCTACCGCTCGATTGCCTTCCGTACTTCCCACGCCCTCTCCAGATATCTTGGCGGCGACGGCTGCGATCAGGGCTCTGCAGGCCAAACTCTCTGTCTGTCATTCAGGAGCTAGCAGACGCTCGGCCGCCTGACACGCGCGAGACGTCGACGAGACCTTGCCGCCATCATTCCCATCTCACAAGCACGCTCCCGCTGTCGCCTTTGGTTCAATCTTGCTACCGGTGGCGTGGTTTCGGCTGAAAGCAACAAAGAGGATGGGCGCGCAGAGACTGGCTAATTATCGGATCCCTCGGTCGTCTTGTCGTTGGAGCCGGCGTCGTCCGCGGCCGACTGCTCGCTAGCCGTCGTTGCCGTCACAGAGGTGCCCGTCGATGTCGACGTCGATGCATCGGCTTCAGCGGGCTTGGCGGGAGGCGTCGTCGTCGTCGTCGTCGTCGCCGTGGTCGAGGGGGTCGAGGGTGAGCCGGAACCAGCGCCCGCCAGCTGCCACGCCGGAATCGAGGGCTTGGGAAGCTGCGGCGGCGTCACCTCTCCCGGCGTGCCGAGCGACGGGGAGCCGTACCCAGGGCCGTAGCCGGAGCTGTACATGCGTCCGGTGCCGTACGCCGGCGCGGGTGGCGCTCCACCGGCCGCGCCGCCTGCGCCCATCGAGCCGCGCGAGACCAAGAGCGACTTGAGCGACTTGAGCTCCGTCTGCAGCTCCGAGAGCGAGTTGGTCTGCGCCTGCTTGGTCTGCTCAAACATGGTGCCCAGCTCGCGCTTGATGTTGTCGACGTCGCGCTTGATCTGGTCCATCTCGTCGTCCCTCCGCTTCTCATTGTCCCGCACCGCCTTGACGCAGTCCTCGACCTCCTTGATCCCCTTTTCCACCTCGGCCTTCTGCTCGTCGAGTCCCTGCTTGACCGCGAGCGTCTGGGCGTCGAGCGCCTGCAGCTGCGCAGCCACCTCGTCGTACTTGGCAGTGAGCGCGTCGAGGTCCGACTCGAGCACGTTGGCGTTCGGCGGCTGAAGATGCGGCATCAGGTATTTCTGCAGGCATTGGTGGAGGCGGGGCGGGACAAGGTAGCGGTTGATCCGTGGGACAGGGTCAGATCAGGTTCAAAGGATGCCCCCCAATCGAGGGCGCTGGCTAGCAACTTGTGGACTCACCTTGGCCAGCGAGATGACGCCGTAGCCGATCGTGCCAGAGACGACGGCCATGATGAACCAGTCCCTCCAGTCGCGGCCCTGCTGGTTGGGTGGTGGCTGGGCATACATTTGACCGTAGGGGGGCGCGTGGTAGGGGGCAGGAGCGCCGTACTGGGCATAGGATCCGCCGCCAGGAGCCATCGCTGCGCCGGGACCGCCCTGGCCAGCCTGCCTGAGCGCCTCGTCGATCTCCGCGGGACGAAGGCCCTTGCTCTCGAGGAAGCTGACGCGCTGCGACATGCTGGCCGACTGGACCTTGGGGTCGGAGAGGAAGCTGACGGCGCTGGCCACCATGTCCTGCCGCAGGGGACCACCGGCGGCGGCCATCTGCCCGCCTGCGGCCGATGTGGAAGCCTCGGACATTGCCGGATGGATGCTAGCTGGGATCTCGGTGTGTTCTGGACCGGCTGGTGGTGGATGCTTGCGGGTGGCGGCGTGGGCGTTGCGCTGCGTGTCTCTTGGGAAGGTAGCTTCGAGTTTGCCGGTATTCGATCGATCCGCCTGGGCGAAGTGTTGCGGACGTGGTGGTGGAGGAGGAGGAGGAAGTGATGATGCTCGAGAGCGAAGGGGCAGGCAGGCAGGCTGACTGCGTGGGCCGAGCGAGGCCAGGAAGTGCGGGGAAGACGAGCGAGCGAGGGCGGGTGGCCGGGCCCAGACGACTGCCGGCTCAGGCATCGCTCCGCTTCCGGTTGCGGCAAAGCGCGAGGCCAGGCCCGCAGGCGAGCGAGCTTGCTTGTGATTTGTGGCAGCCCGCCAGACCGCCATCCGCACGAGAGGAACCCCTCGCGAGTTGGGTGCCGCAATCTGGTTGGCCAAAGGCTGGCAGGGGAGCGATCGGCAGCGCGGAAAAGAAGCAGGCAGGCTGGCAGACGACGGAGATGAAGAAAAGGCGTGGGCATGTCGAGCCTCCCTCCTTCTCCTCTTCACCCACCACCTCACCCCGTCCCGCCCCTCCTCGTCACCTCTCTTCTTCCCCTCCGCCAAGGGAAGGGTTCGTGACACCAGTCCTCGGCCCTGCTCGCTCGTCTGTCTCTTATCTCTGTCTACCGCTTTCCTCCCGTCTCGGGGCACGCAGCCAGGTGAGCATCGCATCGCATCGCATCGCATCGAATCTCTCAGTCCATCAGAGCTCGGACGCCCCAGGCAAGGGAAGCGGAGCAATGGAGGAAAGAGGCTGGACCGATCGGCGATGATTACAAAATTATTCACACTGTCGGAGGCGGTGCGCCTAAGACCCCCTCAAACGCTGAAAAGCGTGTCGAGGGAGGGCTGCCGTCGCATGACTTCTATACAACGGTAAATGAGCCATCCAGCGGTACCCGTCTCGCCGTGGCCGCGAGCACGGGACGTGGCGGAGGAGGGAGCGTCGCGGAAGGGGACGGATCTCGCATCGCAACTCTTCGGGCGTGATCAGAGTCACTCATCCTGTACCCTCCTATATCCCCTCGCCATTTGGACTACAACAGACCTCCCGGTGATCCGCCAGGATGACCAACGCGCCCAACCGCTTCGACCTCTTCATCCTGGGTCCGGATGAGAAGCGCGTCGAGATTGTCGAGGACACGCGCATCCCCAACGCGGCCACCTTCTACTTCAACAAGGAGGACCACACGCTGGGCAACATGCTTAGGCAGTGAGCATCGCGCATCGCTGTCGGGGACTGGCCACCGCCTGCACCCAAGACTTGCCACGCGCTTTCGCGATGACCTCGAGTCTGACCGCAGCGGCTAACCCTTACCCCCCCTCCCCCCCTCCGCTACGCTCTATCATCCCTACAGTGCCGTGCTCGCCAACCCCGCCATCCTGTTCTGCGGGTATAGAGTACCACATCCTCTAGAACCCAAGGTGCTCGTCAAGATACAGACCGACGGCTCCCTCACGCCAACAGACGCGCTCAAGCAAGGCTGCTCCAAGTTGATAGCCCAGATAGGCGACCTCAAGCAGGCCTGGCGCACCGAGGTGCAGATGAGCGGCGCAGGCACCGTCGACGTGGGCGGATACGGCGGCCGCATGGGCATGGACCCCTACGACCAGGGCGGCCGCGGCTATGGCCTCGACGGATCCGCGGGCGCCGATCAGGCCAGCGGCTACGTCGACATCTGACGGCTCATCCGTCCCTCCTCGCCCTCAACCCTTTATTCTCTCTCCCTCTCCCTCTCTCCGTCTCGGGCACCCTGCAGCCTACCACGCCGCACCACATACCCACGCAGCGTTCTCTTCGTCGCATGTACTTGTCACCTCTGTCCCGCCACTGTATTTGTAGCTCACCTCCTCTTGACCGCCTTGCATCGCCGTCCAGGCAGACAACGAATGGACAACATCGGCCAGGACCGGTGCGTCCGATCCATCTACCATCATCCGATTAGCAAGCAAGCAGCGATTAGCGTGTCTAGGGGGGCGGGTTGGTGCTCGAGTGCGCAGATCTAGCGGCCGAAACGGCGCTGGGCCACGTCTACCGCCCAGTCGACAAAGGGCCGAGTGTACTTGGGGGTAAAGACCCACGAGAGCGGGAGACCCCTCCTTGTCCATTCCTGGCCGGTGCAGCGAAGGCGAGAGACGAGGGACGAGATCGAGGAAGCGAGGTCAGCACGACATGCTACGCTCGTCATTCTTCTGAGAGAGGGCGAGGAGAGCGGGAGGTGGACGACTCACGTCGGTCGGCATGGTACCGGTGTAGATGAGGAAGGCAAACGTCCAGATCCAGCCGGGGAGGCCACGGACCTTTGTGCCCGTGACGTCTCGCCAGGCGTGTTCGAGGACGATGGCGACGGCCTGGACGAGGAAGAAGGTGCCCGTCTGTGTGATGCCGAGGCGCGAGTGAGGCGACATGGGCAACTGGCCCCACTCGTGCACCAGCGCCGAGAGGGCAAAGACGGCAAATGTGGCCAGCGCCCTCGCCGCCTTCCTGCCCACGACGGCGGCCGCGACGGTGCGGACCGGGCTGTAGGCGACGTGGAGGAAGGATTGACGGAAGAGGTGGTGCCACCGGTTCGACCACAGATCCTGCACCGATGTGGCGAAGAGGGGCGCATCGAATGGCAGCGGGTCCCAGCGCGATGGGAGGTCTCGGAGGAGGAGGACCATCAAGATGCTGAGGAGCGCGTGGTGCGACTGGATGACGAGGTAGATCATGGTCCCAAACGTGGCCGTGAGGATGTAGGGGCCGAGGGCGCTGCCAAACAGGCCCGGTGGGGCCGTCCAGATGCTCGTGCCCGGCACGGTGGCGATGTGCGGGAAGACGCGCTGGTCCCGGATCACGACGGCCAGCGCGTCGAGGCAGGTGTAGGTGACGATGAGGTTGGGCAGCCGCCGTGCCGCCCAGCGCAGCCGGTCGACGTACCTGTACCGTGGCACGGGCAGGGCGGGCGCAGAGAGCGGCGTACCAGACTCCCACCCGACGCCGCGCATGTTCTGGAGCAGGTCGAGCTCGATGGGCGTCCAGGTGCCCGGGAAGAGGATGGGCAGCGTGGGCGTGTCATCTCCGACGCCATTATTGTCGCCGCGTTGCCGCCGGTGCGACTTTCCCGGCGTCGTTGTCGTCTTCTCGGGTGAGGCATCTATGGCAGGGGCAGAGGCGACGCCGGGGGCTCGCTTCAACCTGGGCCTGGAACACTGCGTGCCCCACTCGACGGAGCGCACAATGGCATAGATGCTGTAGACGCCGGCGCCAAAGTTGAAGTGCTGCGCCTGGCCGCGCACCTGGCCGGAGCCGTCGAGGTCAAAGTAGCGGTGGAACGCGGCGGGGAGCGAGAGCAGCGCGATGGCGGGCACGAGGGCGAGGCGGAGCGGGAGCGTGCGCAGCGGATCGTAGCGGACGAGGAGATGGAGCTGGAGGACGAGGAGCGGGATGGGCAGCAGGAAGAGCGCCAGGCTCGACCAGGTGTGGCGCTGCTTTTCCTCAAACGGCACCGCGGCCAGGAGGTGGAGCAGGTGCTCCGCTATTGAGGTCGATGGCATCGAAAAGGAGGCAGCGTCAGGCAGCAGCTACCGTGAGGTGGTGGTGGTGATCGGTGCCTGTTGGCCGGGCGGCAGCAAGCAGGTCGTGGAAGATGGACGGATCGGCTTCCCGATGGCCTGGCCGTCGGGACATGGTACCGCGCGGTGCAGCGCAGCGCAGGCAGGCAGGCCACATTCCGAAGCCGTCGATGCGCTGGCCGCGATCCGATCGGGAACAGACACACCATGCTCTTTGTTACAAAGGTAGCTCAGCATTCCCAGGTGTCTACTGCGTCGGAGCAGCTCCGTCGCTCTCCGCCGTCCACCTCGGGGTAACGTAGGGGAAAGGGGATCGAGAAGCTCGTCGATGACAGCCGGCGGCCCTTGACAGCTGCGGATCCGAACACACCGTCCAGCTTCCTGCGAGTGTGGCCGGTGCGCGCGTCGTGGTCGTCAACGCGACGCGCCCAGTGCCAGCCACCCTGGGTTGTCACAAGAGAAGGGCCGGCCCAGGCAAAGGCAGAGCAGAATCAGCAAAGGGCGCAGAAATTTCGAGGAAAAAAAAAGGTCGAGGGGGCCAGGAAAAAGTTGAGCCGAGCAGAGTGCCCCGTGCGCCTTAGGCCAGGGGAGCACGCCCGGGTTTGGCGCCCGCTGCGACCTTCGCTTCCAACACACATCGTCGCCGCTTTCGGCTTGGCGGGGGGTCGAGCGGGAGCAGCGCGCACGCTATTGCTCAGACCGAATACGGTACGATCAGGGGCAGGCCAACAGGCGGGAAAGAAACGACGGGCGACTGGCAGCTTGCAGACGCGGCGCCAGGCGGACGACCCTCTCTCTCGCCTGGGAGGCACGCAGAACCAACTCGCAACGCAACGACGAGCAGGCAGGCAACCATGGCCAGGCAGGGCGGACGGGCAGGCTGAGCATCGCATCCTGCCTGGCTCGCGATGCGTCCCTCTTCCACGTCGGGACCTTTCGTGCTCTCGGCGACGGGACATAGCCTTGTCCAGCCAGCCGCCCGCTGCGATGGCGGCCGCGAGGAGCCCAGCCTCTGAGAAAGGCCGAGCAGAGAGGATGGTGCGGCGTGACTACGGCGCCGGGCTGACTGGCTGGTCTGTTGGTCGCCCCTTTGGCACGCAGGCCGGAAGCGCAGCAGCGCGCGGTCCAGTACGGCCGAGGCCCACGCCATGATGCAACAGGGACTCGAGCTTGTCGAGAAGCCCAAGTAGGCTGAGGCCGGCCCTCGCTGTTGGCGACTAACCCTGCCTCTAGCTGCTTGGTCCTTGCTGTACGGCAAGCACGATGCGATGCCATGCGATGACAGCGTGGGCTGCCACCTGTGCTACGGGAGCTGGCAGCCTAGCTGCCGATGCGATGCTGCCTGGCGCTGGAGCTTGTGCTCCTGCTTGTGGGTGTGGGAAAGGGCGAGGAAGCTCCGCCGATGGACGAGCTCAGCAGCCAAGCAAGCACGCAGGCAGGCACAGCAAGCGGGCAAGCAGGCCAGCGGACCTGGTGGCATCTCTGGCGACCCGGGCGGGCGACCAAAAAAGGCCGGGCCAGGCTAGGGTTGCGGCCCCCTTCACGGGCGGGCGCTTGGCTTGGCCAGGCCCGGTCGTGTGTGTGTGTGTGTGTGTGTGTGTGTGTGTGTGTGTGTGAGGGAGGGCCTCCTGGCTTTGGACTGGCCGGTGCGGAAGCCAGGCAAGCCATGGATCGAGTTGGGCGCCTTCTGCCTCATTCCTCGATCCTACCCTGCCCACCCTCTCTTCCCTCATCCCCCTCTCTACCTCCATCCGGGTCATCAAGGAGCAAGCCATTGTCACCAACCTCCCTCTGCACACCCAACGCCGCACACCGCAAACCGCATCCTTCACTGCGCAAGAACCGCTGCCAACATCTCCCCCCCCCCCCCTCTCTGCATCTTCTCATCCTCTTCACAGACCCAACTCCGCACCGTCGACCTGCCACATCACCTGCTTGGCCGCCATTGCACCGTCGCAACGTACACTTCACCGCCCGAGCGAGAGCGCCAGCCAGCACCCCCCTCCAACGCCATCGGAAACGCCCTTCCTCCTACTCACCTCCGTGCCAGGGTAGGCAAACGGTAACCGCTCACCCGGAACACCGGCCCAAACACCCGGCCAGCGCTCCCGCCCAAGCGCCACACCCGCACCTAGCTGTCCATACGGATCCCACACATGGCGGCAGAGCCACACCTCTCGGCCAAGCTCCCCGGATCTGATCAATAGCAACGCTCCGCCGACGCCCACCTCGATCCCGACGGCACCCACGAAACGCCAACAGTCCAGCAGCCTCCCGGGGTCTACGCCTGACTGCTTGTCCACCGACTCCGCCTGGACGGGACATCAGCCTCGACTCCATCGCTCATAATGGTCCGCTCAGTCACGTTCGAGATCCGCTGGCACGACACGCAGCCAATCTACAGCTGCTCGTTCCAGCCCATCTCCCAGAGCCACCTCAAGAGGGTCCTTGACCACAACCTTGGCCAAGGTGCGTACCTCGTCCTGACATGCTCTTGACGTGGCTTCTGATGCTCTCTGCTTACTCTTCCAAGCTTGCTTGCGCCCTTGCTTCTTGTCCACACCACAGCCGCCGGCCTGGCTCCCGGCAAGACGCTCGCGGGCCCTTCCGGCAGCAGCGGCAGCAGCGGCAGCACCGCCATATCCAGCGGCGCAGGCGGCACCATCGCCACCAAGCAGATCCAGCCTCCGATCATGGCCGGCGGTCAGAGCTGGAGGCTCGCCACCGCCGGCGGCGACAACAACGCCCGCCTCTGGATGGTCCACCCCAACATCCCCTCTCCCGCAGCACTGGCAAGCGCAGCTGCGACCTCGGGAACAACTGCAGTCGCTCCGCATCCTCCACGGGTCGAGTACCTCGCCACGCTCAGCCGCCATTCAGGCGTCGTCAACGTGGTCCGCTTCTGCCCTCGCGGCGAGATGCTCGCCACCGCCGGCGACGACGGAAACGTCCTCTTTTGGGTGCCCTCGGACCGCGGTCGTGGCTTCGGTGACCTGCACAGCAACCTCGACGACGGCGAGAGCCAGTTTGAAAAGGAGTTCTGGCGCGTCAAGCTCATGACTCGGGCGACGCAGCAGGAGCTCTACGACATGGCTTGGAGTCCCAACGGCGAGACGCTCGCCGTGGGAGGGACAGACTTTGTCGCTCGGATCATCAACGTTCAGGACGGCCATGTCATTCGCGAGATCTCGGAGCACAGCCACTATGTGCAGGGCATCGCCTGGGACCCGCTGCAGGAGTACATTGCGACCCAGAGCAGCGACCGCAGCGTCCACGTCCACTACCTTCAGCTCAAGCACAAGCACGACCAGGGTGAAGCTTCAGGCTCCGGATCGACGGCGGCCCTCTCGGGGAGCCACCTCGCCAGCCGTAGCAGCAAGCTCGACCTCCACCGGCGCAACGGAAGCACGAGCGGCGGCTTCATCTGGGACTCGAACGCCAAGCCGCCCATGAAGCGACGGGCTAGCAGTCACGCCAGCCAGGCAAGCGACAGCGAAGGTCCACGGGAAAGTTTCGTCGCTGGGCTGCGCGGCCGATCCAAGCGGAGCGCCACCCCCATTGACCCGACCCACCATTCGGTCGTCCCTCGCGCCAGCACACCTTCCCAAGTCGCGGGTCCCTCGCAACTGTCTGGCAGCTCCGCGCAGCCCGCCACTCCCACCGCTTCCGTCCCGCCAAGTCCGTTCTCGGCCACGGCGCCGGGGGGCTCGCACGTGCACGCCATGAACCCGCCCCAGATGACGCCCAGCCGGCGGTCAAGCTTTAGCGGAAGCAACATGGATGTGGCCTCGCCTCCTACGAGCGCCACTTCGCTCGCCCAGACTTCGATGGCAGGCTCGCATGTCGGCAAGACGGCCGATCCAGCCCACCACGCGGGGGCCGGCGTCGCCACGCCTGGGGACGGAGTTCGACGTACGGGCAGCACCAGCAGGTCCGCGTCCCGCACTCGGAGCGTCCGGTCGCCTTCCCCGATCCCTCCGCTCCCGGCCATTCGTGCACCTCCCTCGCCCAAGCAGAGGATGCAGGCGGCGGTGGCGGCAACGACGGGTCTGTCCAAGAGCACGTTGCGACTTTACGGCGACGAGAACTTCAGCGGCTTCTTCCGTCGGCTGGCCTTCAGTCCAGACGGCGCGCTCTTGGTGACGCCGAGCGGCCTGTTTGACCCTCCACCGCCGCCTTCGCTGGCAAGTCCTTCGGTTCACCTGTCGCCGCGGAAGAGTCCTAGCCCAAGCCTGCCGCTGAGCAAGGACGGCGGTGCAGCAGCGGCGGCGGATGCGGCGGCAACGACCAACAAGAGCGCCGTGTACCTGTACGCACGCGGCAACTTTAACAAGTCCAACGCGCCCATTGCGGTGCTTCCCGGGCACAAGACAGCAACGCTGGTCGTCCGCTTCTCTCCCATCCTCTACGAGCTGCGCAAGTCACCCCGGGCGCAGGACGGAGCGAGCGAGGACGACGGCATCCCGCCCCATCCGACGATCCCGCTCGAGGTCGGCAAGCTGAAGAGCGTCTCGCTCGTCTCTGAAGGCTTCAATCCGAGCTCAACCTCAGTCGACCCGCCGACCGGCTCGGATGGGACCAAGAAGGCGTCTTCCTCGGCCCGCAGGGGGCCGAGCGTCATCGGTCTGCCCTATCGGATGGTCTACGCCGTAGCCACGCAGGACAGCGTGTGGATCTACGACACCCAGCAGACTGGACCAATCTGCTGTTTTAGCAACATGCACTACGCTAGCTTCACCGATCTCAGCTGGTAAGTCGGCGAATTCTAGAGCCCACAGTGCCTTCGGCGGAGCCCGAAGCTGACCGCCCTTCTACTCCTCCTCTGCCTTCCGCAGGTCCCCGGATGGACAGACGCTCATGATGTCGTCGACGGACGGCTACTGTTCCGTCGTCGTCTTCGACTATGCTGAGCTGGGCATCCCGTACGCCTACAACTCGCAGCCTTCGCTGCAGGTGCCGTCGGGCGGCACTCCGGCGCCGGCGCACATCGCCTCGGGCACGCCAACACGCTCGGCGCCTTCGACGCCGCAGCTGGCGAATGCCAGTCTGGCCGGCGAGGCGACCTCGAGCTCAGGCGTCGCGCCGTGGCTGGCCGGCACGCCGCCACCGCCGCCCACTCTGCCGACCTCGTCGTCGTCGTCGGCGTCTGCGAGCGCTCCGACTGGACTCGGTCTGGCACTGGGTGCTGCCGGATCCGGCAAGGCGGGTGCGACATTGGCAGGTCTGCCCGCTGCCGTGCGTGCCGCTGCCTCCAGCCCTGCCCTGTCATCGCCCGACGCGACACCTCTGTCGTCTGCCACCGCCGCCGCCAACGTCACCAACACCACCACAGCGTCATCCAACACCAATGCCGGCGCCAACGCTGCCGCGACGCAAGGCGGAGAGGCGCCCAAGAAGAAGCGGAGAATCGCACCGACGCTCCAAGGACCCCTGGGACAGTGAGACGCCGTTTGGACGCCCCCTTTGACGCCCCTATCCCCCGCCCGTGACCCTCCGACATCCATCCGCATGAGATTCTTCGCCATCCTGCCTGTTTGCCTGCCTAATCGCCCTGCCACTTTCGAGCCTCGCCGAGACGAAGACACACAATCCATCCGCTAGTTCCTCCCTCGCCACCTCTTGCATCCCCACTCTTCGAGGACTCCCCCGGCCTCCCTCTTCACCTAGCCCTTCGCCTGTATACTAAGACCCCCACCTCGCCCGACGCCGTTCCTCTCACGCCCCCCAACCCCAACCTCCACCCGCATCCTATCCTAATCTGCCGATGACACATCGAGGCATGGAGGTCCTACCGGTCCGGCTTTGTTTGCACGTCATTGCACGAAGGAGCGAGGTGAGCAAGAAATGGTGGATCAGAGCTCGAGTAGCGAGGCGGGATGAAGGTAGGGGAGGTATACAGCCGCAAAGGAGGGTGGGAGCAGGATCCATCTACATCTAGTAAGTCCTTGAATGAGACGAGACGAGACGAGACGGCGCGAAGAGGAGCGACGGATCGGTGTACCGTGCCGGATCGGATCGGATCGGATAGGGACAGGGAGGGACAGAGAGGGACAGGGAGGGACTTAGAACCTGGGCAACGGTCCAAAGCCGCCGGGAGGCGGTTGGAGCAGCGGCTGACCCTGGTAGTCTGCCGTGTTCTGGAAGATTTCGTTGCCCCACCACTTTATGGCCAGGTTGCCGTCCTTGGGCAGCTGCAGGGCGAAAAAGATGAGGAGCGACTGTCGCCAGAAGAGGGAGAGGAGAGAGGAGAGAGGAGAGAGGGGGACACCAAAGGTGGTCAGTCGCACGCGTTTCGACCGCGCCCTGCATCGGGCAAAGGGGAGAAGGGGAAAGAGGAAGAAGGGGGGTGAAAGGGGGGGAGGGAGCTCACCGAGAGGATGGTGCCAAAGTCGAGGGCGCCGGCCGTGACAAAGTTGTACCTCGACCACCACCCAAACGCCTTTCGGCGGATGAGGTACTGAAACAGGAAGCCGACGGCGAACCACGAGGTAAAGTTGATGCCCTGCGCCGGCGGGGCGTACTGCATGCCCGTGATGATGATGGGCGTGGTGAGGAAGCGGAGGCGGGTGCGCGGGAACCGCTTGGCCAGCCACCACACGACGACGGGCGCCACGGCGCCCGCCAGCAGACCAAAGTAGAGCGGGTGGTAGATGGATCCCGGTCCAAAGGTGCGCTGCGGCCCAATCATGCCCCAGATGACGGAGGCCGTGTAAAAGACGCTGGCCGAGGTGCACGTGAAGTGGTCGCGCTGGTCGGGGGCGCACAGGTCGGCGATGTTGTGCACCATCCAGTTCTTGGTGAGCGCCTGGACGAGGCTGTTGAAGGCGATGCCGACCACCTGCACGCCCAGCATCTGCAGCGGCGCAATCTTCATGTAGTGCGCCAGCTTCTGGTCCTGCGTCAGCAGCAGCGCCGAGCCCATCGTGTGCTGCGAAATCGTCTTGAACGTCATGATGGCCATGGCCCGGTGCGGCACCACGTACGACGCCACCAGCTCGGCAAGCAGGTTGACGGTGAGCGAGAGGCCCGTCATGGCCAGGATGGCGCCGAACGGCACCTGGTAGAATGCCGGCACCAGCAGCGCCAGCACCAGCGTCCACACGGGCATGCTCGTGTCGTAGCAGCTCACCAGGACGACGCAGAGGACCGAACCGACGCCGAGGAGCGCCAGGTTGCACCACGTCGGGATCTGCCGGTAGCGCCGCATCAGCTTGGCGTGCACGTCGTCCTCCTCGGTGGCGCCGTACCGCACGTTGGACCAGAGCATCTTGCCATGGTGCAGGCCCGTGTGGACGATCGAGGCCGTGAGGAGCGCAAAGCCCGCCGTGTACGTCACAATCAGCCCCGCCGAGATGTAGATGGGCGAGTAGGCCTCGTAGGCGTCGCGGTCGAGCACCTTGTGGTCCTTCGAGACCCTCTGCACGTCGTAGATCTGGGCGTACCGATCGTAGGTCGCGCCGGACAGGATGGGAAAGTAGCCCGTGTACCACGTGTTGGTGAAGTAGAGCGCCGGCGCCGCGATCCAGAGGCCGACGACGAAGCCGCCCATCAGATTCACCTGGGCCCACCACGGCGTCACGAGCGGGTGGGCGATCAAGCTGATCTGGGTCCAGTCAAACGAGATGACGCTGGCGCCAAGACCCGAGGCGACGCCAAAGACGGTGTTGACGGGAACGTTGTTCGGCCAGATCCAGCAGACCCAGTTGAAGTAGGAGAGCGCCACAAAGATGTAGCCGGGGAAGAAGTAGGCCACAAACGCCGCCACCGACACGATGCCGAAGAAGTGGATCCGCTTCATGCTGCCGTCCTCGGGCTCGTCTTCGGCATGCAGCGTGTTGAGGATGGTCGTGGTGGCCAGGTTCTGCGGCCACATCATCGAGGCCGGCCGGATCAGCAGGCCCCTCGACAGGCCCGCATACGCCAGCCCGATCAGCCGCGGCGCGCAGATGAAGAGAAACGAGAACATCAGCGACCGCGGCGAGTTCCAGAAGCGCGGGAGGTCCTGCGTCAGCAGCAGCGGCAGCGGGTACGGCATGCTGACGCTGCAGCTGGTCAGGATATTGACGACAGTGTGTTCCTTGATGTTCCAGAGGCCGGGGTTGAGCGAGAAGCTGAAGCCTCCGAGCCACCGTGGCGCCCGAAAGGCACGGTAGGGCAACACGGCGGCGAGCAGCTTTCCGAGCGGATGCGAGCACAACAGGACGATGATGCCGGTGATTTGTACCGGAGGGTTGCGCATCGCCAGCAGCGTGTTGGCGCCCGAGATGAGGGCACTCAGCACGAGGCCGAGGAAGACGGAGCGGAATGTGATGGCCGGCATCTCGGGGTCATCGACGTTGGAGACTGATGCTCGCACCTCGGCGTATGGAGAATCCTCCTCGGACTCGAGCTCGAGCTCGATGACCTTGGAATCCGCCGGATTTTGAATTGCCTTGAGCAAATCGACGCTGTCGAACCCGGCGCCCAGAGCTTCATGCTGTGGAGATGGCTTGCCTGGGCGGTATTCCAGGTGGTGCACCGTCTCCGGTCTCAACGACGTCCCAGTGTAGCCAAGGTCACGGGGATGGATGTGGCCATTGGGCATCGCGTCTTCCTGCGCGAGCGGTCCCCACATGTCGTGCGAGGCAGCGACGGAGCCGTCCTGAAGCCAGTATTCTCCGCTCGGATGTCGCCCATCGTCACGCCCCGGATACTGGCCTGCGTGCATCACGAAGGTGGCCGCTGTGGCCGCTTCGTCGGCTCCCTTGATCGGCCTTTCTTGGCCATCGTACACGGCGTCGTGCTTTTCGTCGTAGTAGAGCTGCTCCTTGTCCGCGACACTCGACCTGACGTTGAACGTGTCGGCGTCGGGCGAAAAGCGGCTCGGGCCCAGGTGCAAGGTGGCGTCGCTGAGGTTCCGCGAGTCCGTGACGTTCTCCACCGTGACGACACCTTGGCCCGTCCCCGCTGCGAACATGGTGATTGACGGGGTCGAGATAGTAGAGGTCAGTAAAATCAATGACACGGCCGCGCCAGACGATTGCCACGTCGGTGCAAAGTCAATAATGATCGATGCTCACGGGGCGCGAATGCGAAGACGTCGTCGGCGTCGTCGTCATCTTCCTCGTCGTCGTCTTCATCGTAGTCGGCATAGATGCGATCGTCGATCCCCTGCTGATAGTAGTGGGCGTTGTCCACGCCGCGATACTCTGCGGTGCCCTCGGATTGGATGTCGACGCGTCCGTTGCCCGGGCATAAGCCATCCGGGTGGGAGGGTTGATGTTGCGTCGAGGTCGGGTTGGCTGCCCGTGTCGTTGGTCGAGTGGACGAGGTGCCTGGCCTGGCAGTCGCTGGACGAGCTGCCGTGGCTGGCCTTGCGGTTGCTGGCCTATTTGCCATGTCGGGTGGCGTCGTCGACTGATCTCGCCGCTCCGCCCGTTGTTTGGCGTTGAAGGATTGCGTGTTCGGCGATGGCTAGCTGGACAGGCACAAAGGAGGGGACGTGGAGAGCAAGTCGGCTTGATGGAGGAGGAGAAGAGGATTGAGTCAAGAGGCTGGCAATGCCAAGTGCTTCCAAGCAGGTGTTGCGCCAGACCGAGAAAGTCGAGCTTGCGCGGCGGTGGGTTTAATCGCGCCCACCTTCGGGAGCTAGTCGTGAGGGTGGGTGGGTTGGTGCGTCTCATTTTGACGCCACGGCCCTTTGGACGGCGACCAGCCATCACGCACGTAGGGCAGCTCTGTGCCGCCCCCCATAGCCGAAACGATGAAAACGTGCGTACGTACCACCGTACTAGGCGGGCAATGTGTTGCACCCGTTGCCAGCAAACGCACAGCCGGGCCGACGCCGTAGGCGTGTACGATACATATGTTTCCGTCTTTGGCGGTTACGGCCGATGGCACTTCCGACGACAGGCGTTGCCCGCAATCTGTCTGCCGGTCATCTTGAACAAGCCTAGGCGGCAACATGCCACCCTTCGCTGCCTTGAAGTGCCGGAGGCGCGTATGACGGTATGTGATGCGGATCAGAGACCACGTACCGTCACAAAGGCCACTCGGTGCGCAGTCAGAATTGTCACCGTGAGGACACCCGGTCATCGCTCGGTCGGCCCGCGCGGCCCGCTGGGAGTCATATCAGCCAGGCCGGCAGCATAAGCCACGATGCGTTGCTGTTGCAGGGTGTAGCCGGCTCACGCGCGCCGAGACAAAAGCAGAGGCGAGGGCTTGGACCCATTGGATGGACGACTTAGAGAGAGAGAGAGGGAGAGAGGGGATCGTTGCCACCAGGAGGGCCGAGCTGGGACCTCTGTGGGATCTCGGGATGCGGGTCCAGATCAATCTCGATTTCCAGAGGCCACGCCCGATTTTGGTTCCAATCGGCAAAGGCGTGGACAGGCTGCGCTCCGTGCGAGGCGGGCCCGACCCCCCCGCACCCCCGACATCCGCTGTCCGCCGTCCGCCGTCCGCCGTCGGGACCCATCGCCGCCTGCCGCCAATCTCCATCTCCCGGACCAACACGACCATCACTCGCAACCAGCCGCACTGCACCATCTTGGCCTCTGCCTCTTCCTACCCCACGGACACCACGCACCATGGACGCTTTCCGCAAGATCGACGTGGACAAGTACGACGAGGACGTCATCTCGGACGCCGAGCTCGTCGAGCCTTACCCCAAGAGCCCACAAGACGCATCCGCAGAGGCTCGCTCCAAGGTCGCCGAAGTACGACAGCTCATCGGAAGGTGAGCCGACGCCCACGCGATGCCATCTCTCTATACCTGCGCCATCTCGCTGACCGAACCATCGTCTCATCTCCTCTGCCGCCGCCCGACGGCCGAAACAGGAACGACGTCGCGGGCGCACTAGCCCTCGTTCTGTCTAACCCGCCATACGGCCCGGGGGTCGAGGATGCAAAGGTGAGTGGGCAGATCTCTCCTATCCTCCGTCCCAAGATCCACCAGGCTCCGTTGAACGAAGATCGGACCGACTCACCGCGTGGCTTTCCCTTGATCCTCCTCGCTCTGGATGCCCTGCAGCACACAACGTTGCTGACGCTCCTCGAGATCCTCAACAGCACAAAGTCGACCGACATCCCCAACGCGGTCAAGGGACTCGACATCGACCAGAAAGACAACCTGATGAAGTACATCTACAAGGGCCTCGAGCTCGGCGGCTCCGGAGGCGAGCGGGAAGGCGTCAACTGCGCCGTCCTCCTCGGCTGGCACGAGAGGGTGAGCAACAACCTTGGCCTTTCGGCGATCCTCGCTCAGTCCCAACCGGTACCAGCGGACAGGTGGCAGTGTGTGCTGACTCTGTTGATCCTCCTGTGCGCCCCCCACCTTTGGATGCTCGATCATCGACCTTGTTCAACCTGGCACAGCTCACCGAAGTGGCGGGAACCGGATGCATCGTCCGCGTCATGTCGGATCGGAGGACCGTGTAGACGACCGCGAACCCTTTCTTGCCAATCCTTCCACTGCCTCTTGAAGCGACCTGCAGCGCACGTGGGGCCGTCGACGATCACTCCACCTGGCCGCCCGCGGTCTCGCTGACGACTTTTAGAGGCACATCGAACCGTAGCGATTCGCCTGATCAAGGCAGTCTTGGCGGGACGGACTGATCAAAACAAGGAAGTCGGCCGTGGAGCGGCACGTAGGTATCAGGACAAGGAAGTACAGATTACAGAGGGCCGAGGGGCGGATGGGCCAAAGGCGCAGGCGGAGGGTCAACCGAGTCGGCGGGCGCGCGATTACGTGGCAGCCTTGGCGCGTGAGCTTTGAGCTCTGGCTGGTCTGGCTCGATGATGCCGGGATGAGGGCTCCGCACAAACTTGCGCGCAGGGTCGCTTCATGACGAGCGAACAAGTCGCGGCTCCGGCACCGTGGCTATCAGCTCAGTGAAAGAGGGCCGGGAAGAAAGGAGCGAGGTGCCTGGCATCTTTGACCTCCTCGACGACGGGGCCCGCTTCGAGGTCGCGGATGTCTTCGCCCAGGTCTTCGAGTACGTCGTCCCTGAGGACGACGAGGTAGCGCTGTCGACGATGGCGTGGCAGTAGGAGGTAAGGCGTCAGCCAGGAGCACAGAGAGAGCGACAGAAGGGAGCGACCGGGACAGATCTGCGAAGTCGGTCTGACCCTGTCCCCCGAACGACGGGATGAAGATGGATGGAGAGTACTCACGAGTTGCTCGAGCAGGTCCGTCACCGCCTCGGTCGACATCTTGCGGCTGGATCGCGCCGCAAGGTACGTCAGCAGGATCTCCTCTGCGCTCCGGGCGTCGGCCCAGTATGGCTTCCGCTTCTCCAATGCACGGAGGCAGGTCTGCAGCGCCGATCGGGCCATCGCTGCCGCATCGTGCTCGTCCCGGGCGGGCGAGAAGGAAGAAGGGGCCCTCGGATCGTCGCGGCCACCAGGCGCCGACGATCGGACAAAGAAGCCCTTGTCCAGTTCGCCGAGTTGCTCGAGTTCTGCGGGGGTTGACAAGGCAGGCGCGCAGGAGGATGCAAGGTGAGCAAGTGCTCGCGCTCGCTGGCATCGTCCACGGCAAGCCATGCCCCTTGGGCGCTCAAAGACACTTACCCGCAACGAGCACGCAGGCCGCCAGAAAGAAGGCGGGCGACATCATCGGGAGGCTCTCGAGGGCCACGTCGTTGGACTCCTGCAATGCGGTTCGGGCCGGAACACAGCGCCATGGGTGCCACGGGTCGTCAGCGTCGCGCGCCGGAAACAAAGCACCTCGCGCCATCGAGGCTCGGATCACACTCACCAGGCATAGGTCCGAGATCTCGGCGATGCCATAGGCCGCCTGGCGCAGCCGGGCCAGGTCCTGGGACCGCATCGTGATGCTGGTGTCGAGGAGGTACCTCCAGAGGAAGGTGCAGTGGTAGGTGAAGTGGACGCCGCAGAACATGACGCTCTCGCCCCTTTCAGAGGCACGGCGCAGGTTGCCGGGCGAGAAGCGGAGCCAGCCCGGCAGCGAGTTGAACCAGTGTCGTGTATCGGCCTCGATCGAGGCGAGCAGGTTCACCTGGATCTGTTCGGCCTCCTGGGCCGATCGGACCACCATGGGGCTGAAGAGTGTCTCGGAGAGCTTGTTGTTGCTGACCCGGATCAGGTCGATGAGGTACGCGAACGACGTCGCCCTAGAGGTGCTCGACAGCGTGGGCAGCCGCGCATCGATGTCGCGGTCCTGGAGCGCGAAGGGTCGACCGGTCATGACCGAGGCGATGCGGTCCAGCGCGTAGATGGACCAGAAGAGGAACTCGTCCGTCTGCCTCTGCTCTTCGGTCAGACTTGAGCCCGGCGGCGGGACACGGTGCAGCCCGAGCTCGAGCGCCATGCGGGACGCGGCAGCGATGATTGTCGAGGCCGAGCTGGCCCTGTTGGCCCCAATCTCGCAGATGGCCAGCAAGACGCCTGCGCTGACGGCGTCGCATGTGGGAAAGGTGACGGCCTGCCAGAAGAGCTGGTGCGCTTTTCGGCTGAACGCCTCGGCATAGTCGGCCGGGCTGAAGCCTTCGACGAAGCGGTGGTCGCAGAATCTGCAAGAGCGGAGGGCACGCAAGGTTCGCGACAGAGGGGCAAAGAAGTCAGCATGAGCCAGTCCGCGCCGACTCTTGCGCAATGCGATCCAAGGCGACTCTCATCGTCTCGCAAACGGGGTCCAAACACTCACCTGGCACCGAGTCCGCACACGGCATTGAGCAAGACGGCGCTGACGTCGTCCTGACGCACCCTCGCCTCAAAGTCTGCCTTGTCGAAAAAGAGGTAGATGCCAGCCAGGTGACCCGAAATGTCCCTGAGGAGTTCGCCGAGGATGCCCGACTTTGGAACGTCGTCGTCGAAGAGGCCCTCGCTGAGCTCCCTGGCGACCTCTGGCACCTTTTCGCTGCCGCCTTGGCCGAATCGGGGACCTCGGTCCAAAGCGGCTTCCCCTGCCAAGAGCGCCAGATTCGAGTCGCCCGAGGACTTGTCAGAGGCGGCGGCGGTCGCAACGCAGCCCGACAGATCCAGGTCGAGATCCCGGAGCGGCAATGGATGGTTGGTCGGCTTGCGCAGCAGGTCCTCGACCGCTTGCTCGGGCAACCGCACGAGGACAGACATGCGCTGAACCTTTGCGTGCCCCGATGCGTTCGAGATGCTGGTCTGGAACATGTGCAACACCGCGCGGCTCGGTGGGCGGGGCGTCTCGCCTTCCCTCCCGTTGTCGTCGTCGACAATCTGCAGGTAGGCAGTGCTACCGGCCATGGCGTCTGTGAACTCGCGCGTGAAGGCGGTCCTTGGCACGGACAGGCGCGCCCAGTCGACTGCGAAGACGTCGTCGAGCCTCTCGGCCTCGTGCCTCAGTGGCCGGCGCGATGTGGCGCTCGAGGTGCCCAGCGCCACCTCGGCCTTGGGAAGGCCGTGGCGATGGCTTCCTAGGTCGACCCGCGTCAGGGCGAGCAGCTTTGCGGCGATATCCCGCGTCTGTGAGGCTTCCAACCGATTTGGAGAGACGCTTCTGGCGGGATAGTCTCGCCTCGTCTGCGGGTGCGACGAGGCCGAGGATGCCTTGGGCGGCGTGCGTTCGCCGTTTTGGAGATCGACCGCCATACCGTCAGAGCTGGAGCTGGCCAGCGAGGAGGCAAAAGCACGTTCGCCCTCGTCATGACCAGGGTGGTGGCGGGAGCCCCTGAGATCGACATCTGGAGCCTGCGCTACCAGGTACCTCTCTGACGGGCTGCCCAACCGTCTCTCGCCTGGATGATGACGGCCACCATCCGCGTAGTCGGTCCTCTCGAACGTCGAAACACCGGGGCTGCGACCAAACGGTGGGTAGGGATGATATGTCGTGCGGGGCAGCTGAAGCGCGGAACCGATGGAGCGGACCGCCGTAGGAGACGGCAGGCGAGCCATGGTCCGGGGCGCATCGCCCGACCTGGGAGGCGATAGGCGTCGTCCATGATCTCCGCTGTGGCCGTTTGTCGCGTGGGCGCCTTGGGGCGAAGAGCGTTCCTGTGCGGCGGCGCCGGCGTCCTTGCGCCGAAGACGGGCGGCGTCGCCTGTCTTGGCCCTTCGGAAGTCGATCTCGGGCCACTTGCACTCGATCTTCATGTGAGCGCAAGTCTTGCAGGTGGGGCGGTTGCCGTCACACCTGGACTTGCGGTTGCGACAGGCAAGGCACGCCAGCGACACGCGAGGCCGCTTGATGGGCGCAGGAACGTGCGCTTCGTCGAACGACATGGGCCGGGATGGAGGCATGTCTCGGTCCGCGTACATCTGGGGGTGCATGGGGCCCTGATAGTGTCCGCGATCGAGCGCCATCGGCGGCATATGCCGGCCAGAAGGATGCAGCGGGGGCGGCGGCGGAGGGCTGGGCGTGCGGGCAAGCCTGTGCGCGCCGATCGGGCTCACCATCCCGGGGGAAGGGTGGCCCATGTGCCCCTCTTGAGCCATGCTGTCCCAAGGTCGGCGTGGGAGCGGCCTGGCGTAGCTCTCGTACATCCTGGCGTCGCCCTCTCTCGGGAGAATCGGCGGGAGGGAGTGCTTGGTTGGATAGTCGCCGACGTCGCGATGACGGGGAGCGCCGTGGGGGACGGCGGGGGGCTGCGACGAGTAGCCACGAGGCGCCAGCTCTTCCAGGGAAGGTCCGAGGTGGCGGCTGGACCTCGAATCATTCGGGCCGCTTGCATTCGTGTAGAATGAAGCGCGGTCCATGGCCGAGGACGGTAATCCTGGACTGTGAAAAGGCGGTGGAAGTGTAGGGGCCGAAATGATGGGCAACGTCTTGTGCGCAAGGCGGAAAGATGGAGCGGCGGCACAGGAAATAGGCAAGTCGTGCCTGGTAGCCGAAACGCCAGCCGGAGCGGTCTCAAGGGCGCGAGAGGAGTCGCAGCAGAGCCGTTCGCGCGCACGGGTAGTGGTACTTGGAGAGGATCGGCTGAACGTCCAGCGATCGAAGCGAGTTTCGCGGAGTCGTGGCGCAGCCGGCTGCGACGGAGGCACCAGGACGACAGGGAAGGGAGAGACACCGACGGCGATAGAGTCGCAGAGGACGCCGGGGAGAGCAGAAGTTGGAGGGGAGCGTGCGAAAAGTTGGGTGGCGAGTGGTGGTTTGGAGAATTGGTTTGGGAATAAATGATGGTAGAAGGGTGGGTAGAGCGCACGTTCAAACCAAGGGAAGTTCGTGGGTGGCGGCGGTGAAAGATGCAAGATCAAGAAGAAGGGTAAGCGGTCTATCTTGTCAAAGGTAGGAGGCAGGGCTGGGATGAATACAGTCCAGAGCCAAGGCAGAGGCGCGAAGAGACAGGCGGACCACAGTACAGGTTGAGGCCCGCCGCTGCCAGATGCTCCAATGATGCCTTGGGGTCGAGTAAGGCAGTGCGGTGTATGCGCCGGCGCCCCTAGCGGAGAACTCGGGACGTCGGCATCCTTTTGCCCTGCGCCGTTGCAAGAGCGCGACCCGACGGTACCGGCGCGAGACTCACCTTTCTGGGCTGTCCCGTAGCCCGCGATCCAGGTACTTGCGCGCGAAGAGTACTCGTGCTCGAGGTAGTCGCTGTTCACGAAGTAGGGACGAACGTGAGCTGGGCGTACAGGGAGGCTAGATCGTGTTCGTGGGCGCGTCTGTTCGTGCGTCGGCGGAGAGAACGGGTTGGAGGGAAGGTGGTGTGGCAGACCGAGTAGAGTTGGCTCGAAAGTCGCTGTCCGCCTCGCCGGCTGAAGTCAAGAAGGCGTAGGCGGCGCGGTGCAGCGGGTGCAGGAACTGGAGGGAGGAGCCTCCGACCTAAAGCTCCGGAGGGGCGGAAGGGCGCAAACTACGGGCGGCTGTGGGGGCCGTCCTTGAGCTGTCGTGCGGTGGGGAGGCGTAACGCTGGCAGTCGGATCGTCCGGTGTCGGCGGGTTGGCAGCGGAGCGGAGGGGACCGAGGGAGTCTATGTGGTGAGGACGCAAGAGGGAACGCCGGAAGGTCGATGGGGGATTCCTGCACCGGTGTAAGTACGGCGAGGGCGAGGGCGAGGGGCGAGGGCGAGGGGCGAGGGGCGAGGTAGGGGCTTGCGATGACCGGCGTGGCGGGCAACGGGGGGATGATGGAAGGCCGGAGGGAAAGAAGGCTTCGCGACCGGGCTTGGATACAGGGAGCGCGAGGCGGCAGGCGAGGCAGGCGAGGCCAGGTCACGCCAGGCCAGGCGGAGCATCCGGCGCGGGAAGCCTCGAGCGCCTGCCACGAGACAAGATGAGGCCGGCGACGACGTCCAGCAGGTATGCAAGCAGGGCGACAGCGACCGGCAGCTGCGCTCCTCTCCTGTACCTGTACCTGTGCAGCCCAAGGGACCGTACGTACGGTTGCTCTGCCGCAGGTGACGAATGGCCTGGATTCCTGGCCGACCTACCTGTGCCGGACCAAGCGCAGCAACAATCTAAAAGTAGAGCGGCCTGGCGAACGGCCCTCTGTGTGTGTACATACACAACCGGGTGCAGAGTTACAGGCAGTGTGCGGTGCGTATGCGGCGGCAGTCGGCAACGACAGTTGATACTGGACTGGACTGTACGGCAGGGGCGCTGCGCCCCGCTCAGGAGCGGCAATGCGGCCGGGTGGATGAACAGGCGGGCGTCCTGGGATGGCGGCCGGGTGGACACACAACTGGGCCGCGCCGGACACGGACAAGCTCGAGCAGAGGCAGGGGCAAACGGCAGAAGGAGAGGGGCCGGCTACTCTCACTGGGGGAAACGGACCGTTGGACATGCGGCAGCGGGCACCGCGACCGGTACCAAGCAAGCAGCCAGCGCTCAACCGCAGCGCCCGCCCGCTCGCCGACGTTATGGCAGAGCAGCGCAGCACACCTCAGTGGCAGCTTCTTTGCGCCTGCCTGCTGCTTGCTTGCCAAGAAGGGGAGGAAGAGCACGAGCGAGCTGGCAAGAGGGCGACGACGATGCGGCGACTGCCGCTGCCGCCCGGCTCCTCCCCTGGCCCCGACGCTGCCGCCGTTGCTTCGCTGGACTTTCAGCCTCCCGGCTGGCTTTGCTTCCGGTTGCCTGCTAGCCGAACCGAAACAGAAGAAGCGCCGAGATCGAAGGACCTTTTTTTTTAAAAAAAAAAAAGAAAAGGGAAGGGGAGGCAGGGGGAGTCCGGGCGAGCCGACGCGCACCCTGGTCTGGTTGGGCCAATGACCCAGGAGAAACCAGAGGCGAGGCCGGAACATGCATGATTCGGTGACAGCGAGCGTCGGACGTGGCCGACGTCGAGCTTGGGCCGGCCCATCCGAGCCATTAATTTTCACCCACGGTCAGGCCGGCCAAGCAAGCAAGCGGCCTGGAGAAGGGTGGCCCCTCGACGCTCGACGCTCGACCTCGACCCCGACCCCCGATGGCGCTCGGCCCGACCCCGTACGTACGTACACACCGGTCGGACCCTACCTACCTACCTAACGGCGATAAGCAGTCGGACCGCATATGGATGCGACCGATGTTGTCGGACGGCCGCAACGCGACCTATTGGCTTCGACTGGCGTACGAGCGCCTCGGATAGGACCGAGCGACAGCTGTGCATGTCAAGCCAACACTGTCGGACCGAGCCGCCTCGCCCCCACGGCAAGAGTCGGCGCTCGCCAAAGGAAAATTAAGGGCAGCCAGGCTGGCTTCGGCCCTGCCATTTCGATGAGATCCAAGGGAGGGTCGGGGCCGCCTTTCCGGCTCGCAGTCTTAGTCTTCGAGTGCTTTGCCTCGCTCTTGACACAGAAGCAACAGGCCCCCTCCCTGCCCTTTTTCTCCTAGGCGAAGTCATTAAAAATACGGAACGGCAGCGCTTCCTTTGGACGCAAGCCGCTTTTGGGGGCCCGCCGCCGCGCAGACCTGCTGCGGGCGCATCGGCTCCGTAATCTCATATTCAATCTCGCAATGATGCCAAGCCGGCTCGGAATGAAGTCGCCTCTTCATTTTCGTCTAGAGTGCATCGATGGGATGGCGCCCGACACTCGTCCAGTGCCTAGACGGGAAGGAGGCTTGGTACATTTTTACGAGTACATGCGAAAAAAGGCGATTCCGGCGGCAGCGGAGTGACGACCGCCTTTGCCTACCAGTTCCTGACGGGAGGGGTCCATGGCGCTTGCTGTGAATACATATCCACCGACCAGGACCGCCGAACAACGGCTAGCGACGGCAGCAAACGGTACACAGATCGAGTGAGGACCGTCACGACAGGTCGGCGTCCGACACCCTTGGTGAGGGCGGCGCTCCGAGACGGGTGGCGCGCGGGCATCCGGGCACTGCGGCGTTTGCGAAGCCAGGGGAGGAAGGGGAATTGGCCGCACGCGCAACCCAGGCGGCAGGACGGTGCCTCCGGCCCACCTCGACCCGGCCCGTACAACAGGCTGCCGTGCTGTGTCTGCGCGCCTCCAGAGCATGAACAAGTTCCGGCTCGTGGACACGTACGTATCGTATCACCATCAGCAAGGTGCGTGCTAGGGCGCACACAGTGGTACAGCAATCGAGAGGCAGCGCCCCCTCTTGTACGGAGATGCTTTTGACGACAGAGGCGCGCAAGAGGTCCCGCTTCATATGAAGTGGTACATCGTGCAGGCGACGGCCGGTTGGCGACGCTTCTACGTCAGCATCAACCCTTCGCAACGCCGCACTCCGGCGCCGATGCGACGAGGAAGCGCCTCGGTCTCGTGTCGAATCCCCTATCCCTATCCCGTCGGTCATGCACGCAATGCGCGAAACGCCTACTTGACCGGATGCACATAACGTGCAGTCGCCTAACGGCAGGCCGAGGTGAGGCGTGGGGGAGCGAAGGCCGATCCAGTCGACGCTGACGACGTTGCTTCCGGCCGCTGCCGACACACAAGAGAAACCCGACCGGGCGATCGATGCCGAAGCCCCTCGAGGGTCTGCGGCGTTCGAATTCGCGTGCGCGAACCGGGCGGCGAGTAGCACTGCTGTAGCGCTTGCACACTAAGACTGCATGCGTGCCGACTCGTACAAGAGTAGTGTATTCCGGCAGTCGTGTCCGGATCATCGTCGTGCAGACCGGTGTTGCGAGTGGGCCTTGTTTCCGACAGCGATCGCGGCGACGGCCTGATTGTTGCTTGCCTTCGCCTGTCTCATCTGCCGGTAGAACTCGCTCACACCATCAAATTTAATCAAGAATCAGCACGCTGGAGAGCTCTGGACGGGGGAGTCGAGGTCGAGCTAGAGAGCTTTAGCGGGCAAGCGGCGAATGTAGGTGATGTACGTACATACGTACGCTCAGCTGGTGCGGAGCGAGCGCCACGTGTCAAGAGCTCCGCCGGACCTTGAGCAGGCGACGAGCTGCAGGGCCGAGGTCGAAAGCGCCTAGGGCGCTCGACGCTCTTTCTTAGCTTGTTGCGGGGGAAAGAAGAGTGCGGCTGCAACAGAGTCGCTGGCCGGCGTGGTGACAGGCGAGCTGCGACGGGCCGGCGGGACTGCGAGCGCCACATACGCCCCTTGCCTGGCGACACCAGCGTGTCGAACTGGCCCTGGAATCGTCTTTATTCTGCAGGAGCCGCGAGAGCATGCGTTCCCGCTGCCCGCCCTCGCCCTCGTCTAAGGCATTCTGCCTGCCTGATCAGCCTTCTGCGCCGATGGCGCCATGGTCCTACATCCGCTGCGTGTGAAGGGCAAAGCGAAGGCCCCGCCTGATGTACATCGCGAAACGCAGGCCCGGTTTCTGTTGAGGCGCGGGATCCCCAGAAGCA